AAACAACATACAATTTTTAATATATATATAATATATAATATATTAAATAATACCACAATTTTTAAAAATAAAATACAGAAAATAATATTACAAGAAAAAAATATAGAAAGTAAGGTTAGTTTTATCGAAATAATTGAATTGTAATACAACACCATCTATTGAAAATTTGCAGTACTTAAAGACTTACATAACCTCTAAATAATAAATCCTTAATTGCTAACTAATTGCAAGATATGATTATTTCGAAAAAAAAGGAATACAAGAAAAAAGAAAAAAGGGAAAATGAGAAAATAAAATAAAAGAGAAAGTAAACGAAAGAGTAAGTAATAAGTATTACCACCCACCCTAAGCCATTGAAACGCTTCCTCGCTATCGGCCGGTAATATTTTTGCCTCACCCTAACCGGATGAAGGCAACCCACTCGGTGCTAAATGAACCATTACGTTGCCAGTATTACCGTGTGCGTATAGCAAGCTACTACGCTTCCTATCAAAGATCCGGAGAGCACCCTTATTCCGAACGGTATTTAATTCCGCTAAATACACCGCGATAATATTTTCTGTTTCGCTTGGTCGCACTTCCTGTTATATAAGGGGAGTTAATGTAAGAAAGAATGAGAGAGAAAGAGGAAAGAACATGTGTTATTTAAGTACCGTATTATACTTTGACTTTTATCAATTATTGATAGATACTTCGATAATAATTATTATATTTAATAAAATATTTTCAAAAGAAATTGATTATATTCGTATTATTGAAATATACAATTTGTTAATTATCGTGTTTGATGATTTTTAATATTATTTAAAGTATAAAATTATTAATATCAATATTTAATGTATTGGGTTGTTCGGAAAGTAATTTAATTTTTTCTTTTGTGAAAATGAAGACAATTTTTGTTTCAAAGTTAAAACCTAGGCCTTTCGAGTGAGCATAAACAGTTGAATTTGATAAATTTAACTTCTCATCAATCTCACGTGTTGTTATTTGCCACTTTGCATCAATTCATGCATTTATTGTGTCAAGAATAAATGAAATTACTTTTCGAACAACCCAATAATTAAATGTCTAAAATAAAACTTTGTATCAATACGAAAGAATGAAAACTACCAAATCGTAAGTAGAAAAAAAAATTAAAAAAAAAAAAAAAAACTAAAAAGAAGATAAGGAAGAAAAGAAATAATAAGGATTCTTTTCCTATCTCCCCTGTAAATATCATTTTCCTTTTTCATGATATTTCAAAATGATATTTATTCTTATAGGAAGAAGCATCATCGTCATATTGAGAATGTAAATGGTCGTTTCGCGCGCCCGTGCGTCCTTAATGCGAGCTTAAATTTCTTCTTATTCTTCTTCAGGAAAGAGAAAAAAAGAAAGATAGTGCAAAAAAGAAAAGAAAAGAAAAGAAAAAGTAGTAATGGAGGAGAGAGAATAAAGTTGGAAGAAAAGCAACGTGTCGTTTGTTCGGCCTCGTTACTTGACTCGTAATGAACAGACCAGATTTACATAATAGGGTTATTTGTAGGTGGAGTGCGAATAAGAGTAAAAAAAAAAAAAGAAAAAAGAAAGAGATAGAAAGAGGACTGTAACCTACCGGATGCGGAATAGAGAAAGAAGAGGAGGAAAGGGGAAAAAGGGATAGGGAAAGATAGGGAATAGGGCGGGGAAAAGGTGTTACGCTACCTTCGTGCACACCCCCATCCCATCCCCGTTGTCGTAGTCGTCATATATACTCTAGCAAGAAATGTAGAATTTAAATGTCATGCTTGAAATATATAACCGACAAATGGCTGAATTACGAAGTGTTATATACATTGGTAGACACACACATATATGCTTTTTTTAAATATTTGTATAGGATGTTTCAAGAAAATGTAGGCATTATTTGAAAGGGTGGTTTTGGTAGACTAAAATGAAATTAAAGAAAAAAGTAATTTATATATAATTTTTAATATAAATTATATATAATATAATAATATAATAACATATTATATTATATATAATATATATAATATAATTATATAAAAAAATGTAATTTATATAATATTAAATATATATATATATATATAAATTAATAAATAGTTTTAGTGTTAAATAATAAAACTAACCTAAGATTATTACTTTTACTTTAATAATATTAATTTATTAATATTATTATACTTAATTTATTTAATTAATTTATTAATTATTTAAGACTTATTATACTTAAGACAATTCAAGACTATTGTTGGTAAATTCTAATAATATTTTAATAATAGTTTCTAATAGTATTTCTATAATAAATGAAATGTTCTATGATAAAACATTTGTAAACTCAAATTAGCAACTTCAAACTATTATGAAAATTACGTGTAAAACACCATATAATATCAAAATGATTATAATTTATAAACAAAGTAATGTCGAGTTTATGATTATACGAGTTTCGTTTCTTATTTTACCATACTCAAACTATCCGTGAAATTATGCTAACATATTTTGATACATCTTTTAAATGTAATCACTCTAACCAGGATATGTAATATTTTTTACATGCATATTCGAAATATATTCTACAATAAATGAGATGCTAAAAAAAAACAAAAAAAAATCTAGCGTAAAAGAGTAATTTTCAATTATTCATCGTCAGTATTTTAATATCGCGATATTAACAATATACATTTGCATCAGACTTAATTTATTTTTTATTAATAGTTTTCCGTTTTGTTCATATTATATTTCATCGTTTATAACTTTTGATGTTTCTTTTGTTTAATTAGTACGTTCAGCTAATTTTTTTTATTCATACGTGTTTTATTTAAAACCTTATCGATAAATTTGTAACATATAAAACTTGTAACAGTAACATACAAAAACGTAACATCAACCATGTATCGTGTAACTGTAAACTTGTTGCTGTGAGTATTTTGGCAAACATTGTTCAAATTCAAGACACCATATAGTTCGAAGTGTACAATGTTGTGATGAACGTATACATTGATTCGTTTTACAAGTATTGTTACATTTACAATATTGATTTTTCATTTTTAACAAAACAGATAAAAAACAAATTGTTTACAACTATACAATGTTGATACTTTTATCGTGTATTGTATGATATCTTTTTTTTTGTAAAGTAACCAGTAACTCGTATTATATTTTCTCTCTCTCTCTCTCTCTCACACACACACATACAACTTAAAACAGGTTTTTTTTTTTTTAAATTGAAAACAATTCTTTTTATTTATAAGACTAATAGGATTGCAAATGAAAGCTCGTGTGTCGTTAAAAAATTAGATATACGGATAAAACAACGAATAAAGATATTTCGATTTATTTTTAGAAGACAAACAAAAAATAAAATCGATCTTACCCAAACCAACCCTTGCTAATTATTCCTACGAGCGAATTATTTAGCGATAAAATTTCCACCCCCCCCCTCTCTCTCACTCTCTCTCACTCTCTCGTTAACAGAGGATCGAGAGACCGCGGCAATTTCACATTAAAGAACGATAATGACGATAACGAATCCACATTAGCGTGTAACGAACTTTACCATTCCCGATGGCCCCCTCCCCTTCCCTTCCCTTCCTCCCCCACTCCTCACACTACCAACTATTCCTGGCTGAATGGCCGATCGTAATTTTCCCCGATCGAAACCGATTGGAAAATCGACGCGAAAAACGAAAAAGAAAAAAAATTATCAAATACTCCGAGTACCCCATGAACGATTCTTCACGGCAATAATGAGTCTCAAAGTATTACGATAATGTTCACTATAATAATAATAATAATAATAATAATTATTATTATTATTATTATTATTACGGTATAATTATATTTGTTGTTTAATTTAGTATTATTGAATATTGATTTATTTTAAGTGGCAGACATTATTTCGAAATATTCACGATGATAATGATGATGATGATGTTTAACAATATTTGATGATGTTGTTTAATTAACATTTGTTTTTTTTTGTCTTCATCGTCAAACTACCTAGCTAAAAAAATATTTTCTTTTCTTTTTTTTTCTTTTCGATACACGTTTTTATCAAAAGGTTATCCACTTATTGTTTGACTGAAATTGTTTTGAACATGCAACGTATCGTTTGTTTCGATTAAGTACGATGTGTAACAAGAAGAAAAATAAAAAATATAAAAAAATGATTGTAATAAACGATCATACACAAATTGCCATTGTGAATAAATTTTCTCTTGAAATCTCCGACTACTAGAGTAAAATATAAAAGAGACGAGGCAGTTTAACTGGTGAAAAATTAATGACCAACTCAAGTTTATCCGAGCGAAAAGCGTCGGTCAATCTGTACTTGCTCGTTCGTGGATAAATATCAAGAGAGAAAGAGAGAGAGAGAGAGAGAGAGAGAGAGAGAGAGAGAGAGGGAGAGACCAATTTCTCTCTTATTTTTTATCAATTATTTTGCAATTAAATCCAGCTTCATTGATGTTGAAATGATATTTTATTTTTTCGATTTATTTTTCACGCAAGATAAGTTCAATTTTGACGATTAAATTATTTTCAATAAAAAAAAAAAAAAAAAAAAACTTATCTATGATAAAAATAAAAAATTTAATATTAACCCTTTTGAGTGGAGAACATGCCTAACAATTGCAATTGTTAAAAAACATAATGATTTTATTGTTAATTTCAATTGTGAGGTTAGAAACTAAGTCATTGCTGATTTTAAAAGTCCACCTATCGACAAAATCCGCAACTATTTACTTACTAACCCAATACTTTGATAAAATAAAAGAATTTTGAGCAAAGGCAGATAAAAAAAAAATAGATAAGCCTATACATGCGTCCTTAGTCCACTGATTATTTTCATTGAACGCATATATGCGTCTATGCTATACAAACAGGTCTACAATAGTAGTTTTTTAGTAGCTCTAGCAACAGGAAGTTAGCAGGTTAGAATGACAACATGTTAAAATATTAAAATATATTATTAAAAATGGTTTTTAATTGTTAATAATATTTTTGATTATAGGTTAACTTACCAGCAAAATATGCGAGCATAGCAGTTAATGCTACGGCGAGTAATATCAAGGCGATTGAAAAACATTTCCAAGAGCATCTGTGTTGGCAACGTTTGTCGATGTGAAAACGCGATGGCGAATAAGGTGAGTAATGGGGTACAGCCGCGGCTCTAAGGGGAAAGCCTGGCATAACCATCGCTTGATTTTGTGCTGCGACAGTTCCTGTACCGCCATTACCTGGCCCACTTCCTAATCCACCTCCCAATGAACCTACTGTCACCTGTTGTTGCGGTGGTGGAAGTCTGTAACATAGAATATCAAATTTTGATTAATGACAATGAAAATACATACAAAAACAGACATAACTTATAGATTTACAACAAATATAATGTTATTATAGTATTAATAATATTATTTTATGTATTATGTTATTTATATATATATATAAGAACAAATTTAGATTATCGAATTAGTTGGAAATGTATTTAATTGCAATATTATACCATAATTATCAATTAAACGTATTTAGTTTAAATACGAAATGAGCGATCGATTTAGTTATTACAATTTATCTATAAATATATAGAGATAATGATTATAACGATTATGATGATGATAATGATGACGATGATGACGATGATGATACCATTTTTGGATTATATCCAATTAAATATTTATCTTATATATATATAATAGAGGTTAATATTGTTCTTTAATTCATCAAAATATCATATTTATATAGTATAGGATTTATTAATTTGATGTGATTGAGATTAGCCTTTGAATATCGAATTTTTCGATAATCGAGGTGTTTTCAAAGAACACTAGACGAACAGAGAGAGAGAAAACGAGAACGAATAGGGGCTAGGGGGTTGGGGGTACATCGTTGTATCACGATTTCGCTCTCGGGGCTTTAGGAGAGATAACGTGAAGCTTATAAAAGATGCAGATACGGTTATTAACTCTGACAGGATCGGAGCGTAGGTACTTATACATATATACATACATACATACATATACATATATACATATATGTATATATTTAGATATCTCTCTTTCTCTCTCACTCTTTTTCTCTTATCTCTGTGTATATTGGCGTTGACTCGAGGGATTTTGCAAAGGTTTGAGGGTTGGGGGTGGATGTTGCTTTTCGTGCTAGGGTGTCTAAGGCACACCCGTCGAACCTATGTCACGGATTTTATTTTCATCCTCGTCATCGATATTTATCTATGTCCCTTTATATTCTGTTTCTTTTTTTTCTAGGATGTCGTGGGACATCTACGAGAGGGCCCACTATATGTCTCTTTCTTACACCAACAAGAGAAAGAAAATGAACGGATAAGCACGGTTGGGTTGGGTACAGTAGGACTGGGTAGGTAGGATAGGTATACGTATATAGTTAGATATCCTCGAAAAGCGTTTCGTGAAAAGGGACAACGTCGAAACAGGGATTTAATGCGGAACCAGGATAAATATAGTTTTCCGATAATCACGTGGACTCATGAATAGCATTAGCTTTGGTTATTGGGATAGAAAGAGACAGAGATACATAATGTATCACGCATCCTTTTCCACCCCACTCTTCCTACTTCCCCTTCCACTTCTTTCTATTTTCTTTTTTTTTCTTTTCTAGATTTTGTACTGAAATCCTATAAGAATAACGTTCTTAGTGACAGTGATCCGGTGATGCGGATAAAAACTGGGAATGTGAATATTGTATAAAGAGATAGAAGAACTGTATGTGTGTAACAGAGAGAGAGGGAGAGAGAGAGAGAGAATGGGGAGGGGAAGAAAAAGAGTGGGGAAATTCAGTGGACCGTTTGGTATGGGCCAAACCAAACTAGAACACGAACCTCACAATAGCTTGGGTATTATATTATCCTACTTTCCGGATAAGTAAACAGAAAGATCGATCAACTGATCAGTTTGATATACTATCTCTCTTTTTCTTTTTCCCTACTAAAGTCATATATCATGAACTTTAGAATATATTTATGAGATGGTTAATTTCAATAAATTAAATACTCTCTAATATATAAAGAATATCTTGAAACGTTGATCGATCTAAACGTAGACGTGTCAAATTGATGATACAGATTGAAAAAGAAATTTATCTCAATAATTCGAACTTTCTGATGCTTCAAGAAAAACACATAACACACATGTACACACATACACAGATTCAGAAGCAGAAAAGGGACAATTTTCATCAGTCCTTTATAAATCAAATTTTTTTTTATAAAGAATCGAACCCGTACAATTTCTCGTAAATCAAATTTGTTGTTAAACAATAAAACAAATTAAAAAAAAAAAAAAAACACTTCTTCACTCGTGACACTTCTTACTTGTTATAGCAAATATTATCTTCCTCGTTCTAAGAGAGTTTGTCGACTAGGGAAGAAAGGGAAGATGTTCCAAACGAGTTGGGGAGGGGGAGGGTGGGTGAGGTTTTAGGTAAAACCTTGCCGTCGGCAATGTTCGTTCCTCAAAGTATCATTAAAACGTCTCGCGTGCCTGGCGTAACGCATAAGTTGGTTAACAGCTACCGACAAATACCATAAATAATCGGAGCTTAGGCTACGATGGTGGTGGTGGTGGTGGTGGTGGTGGTAGGGGAAGGAAGGTTTCGTCTCCTTCACGATCCTATAAACGTCCGCTCATATTTCCCAACGGCAGGAAGCAATCAGACGCGACGTTAAAAAGAAAAAGAAAAAGAAAAAGAAAAAGAAAAAGAAAAAAGATAAAAAGAAAGATGGCATGAGAATGAAAGAGAGAGAGAGAGAGAGAGAGAGAGAGTAAGAGATATAAAGAGAAACAGATATAGAGAGAAAGATCACTGGCAAAAGTCCCGAAGTCTTTCTTACTCGTGCGTGCAACCAGACTGAAGCAAGAAAACGAGAAAACAGAGAAGAGATAGAGAGGGAGAGTGTAAGAGAGTGAGTGAGAAGGAGAGATGCAATAAATATTGCTTTTTCTTCGGGATCATTAAGTTGAGAGAACGGAACGTGGCGGAAAATTAATTTACTGAAAATATCGACTAACCCCTCTCCTCTTCCCTTTGCTGCCCCCTTTCCTCACCACTTCCCCTTACCCCTCAGCAACGCACCCACTCTATTTTCTCTCTCTTTCTGTGTCTCTCCTTTTATTTTTTTTATTTTTCTCTACACCATCGGTCTGTCTTCTTATTCCTTGCCGAAAACTATCGAGCGAAAAAATTTAATGGTGAAGTAATGGGAGGAGGGAGAGGGGGAATTGGGGACCTTCTTTGAAAAGTTGGACCATGGCCAGTGTTACGATGATGATATCAAGCCTCTATCTTCCATTCACGAATCTTTTTGATTGTCTCTTTAGGTTGGTTTGATCCAAGGAAAAGAAGATTACGTTACGTTTGCACATGTGCATATTATAAACGTGTGTGTGAAATAAATTATACGATTTATACAATAAGACGTTTGTTTTTTTACTTTTGATCATTATAAAACAAATAAAAAAAGAATAAATACATTACTCTCGTACTTTATATAAATTTTTTCCAACGAAATTGATTTCAAGCAGTTTCGAAGTTTTTATATGGTTATTTTTAATTAAAATAATAATAATTAAATTCGAGCACGTATAAAAAATAACAAAACTCGAATAAGCTATACTTTTCTTGGGGGGTTTTTTTTGTTCTCATTCACGATTGCAAAATTATTAAATAATTTCATAAAATAAAACTTCCCTTTTCTTTCCGCTTCCCTTTACCATCTTAAAAAAAAATTAGACAAACGTAACAAACTTTTTCATATTTTTTTCTATTTTTTCTTTTCTTTCTCATTTAAAACGTTACAGTGAAGTTTATAAAATACGTACGGTTTCTGCTGGATCGGATGGAATCAATTTTTTATACTTTCAGTATAATACAATATACGTTTCACACACACATATATGATGAACTTACACAACCATCGTATATCGCAAAACGTTTGTTCCTTGTGTGTTTCTATGGAAACCGTATATATGGTATATGAATTCTACGTTTACGAAACTTATGTTAGAAAAGCTCAAAAATTTTGCAGCGCTCTGCCTTTCGCCCAGAAGGGAAGGAGGAGGCTGAGGGGGGGGGGGTGCTCGAGATAGAACGGAAGCCAATTTATTCGCAGTAAACACTATTACCCCTCCCCCTCTTCTCCTTCTCTTCCCCTTAAACCCCCGGACTCTAGGAACGCGATTAATCTTCGCTTTTCCTCCAGCTTCTGCACCCACTACTCTAAAGCAGCAGCCGCCATTGCAGTCGCCGGTTGAAATCCGTCGACGTTTCTGACCGAGAAAGTATCCCCCTGCTCCCTTCTCCACCCCTTATTCTGGTTTTCCTCTTTCTCCTTCTCTCCTGTCTGTCTATCTGTCTGTCTGTCTGTTTGTCTCTTTATCTCTCTCTCTCTCTCTCTTTCTATCTTTTTCTGTGCAAAACAAATAAATCTCTTCCGGACATAGACCACCTAAAACCCTTCCTTCATTCCCTTTATACACGTCTAGTTGGACTGAAAATTTCATTTCTAAAAGTATGACTAATAAGTACCTATATATAATAATAATAATAAAAATAATGATAATAATAATAATAATAATAATAATAATAATAATAATAATAATAATAATAATAATAATAATAATAATGTTAATATAATACAATACACATTTGATTAGATTTGGTATTTAATATTTTCAAATATGTGAATTTAAAACAAGAATTTTAGGTATATATATTATAATAAATGTATTTTTGTATTAAATTAAATTATAATTTTATTAATTAAATTATATTTATTGTTTGTGTGTATTAATAAATTTTTGTTTAAAGGTATATATATATAATGTAAAATATTTATGTTAATTTAAACGATAAATAATTTTCTCTTTTATATCTCACACATATACACACATAAATGGAAATTTATTATTGACTGTAAAAATAAATTTATTTTTTCTTATTTACGATATTATTACAAATTGAAGAAAGATGAAGTAGAAAAAAAAATATAATTCACTAAACCAACGGGACTAAATTGAGGATAATCGGGGGTTGGTCTTCAATTGCATCGAACGATCGAAATGGTCCTAAGAGGGTGACGAGAAATAAGAGTTTAAGGAGAAAAAAACCTTGCGCAAAGGAAAAGGGCACTTTTTAAGGGTGTGCGTAAGAAGGAACGAAACACGAAGTAAGCAGCTATTCTATGCTTTGACACTCGCTCAACCCCACCCACCCCCATTATCTCCCTGACTTTCCCCACTTCACCTTTAGTTTAACCCTCATACTAGCCCT